TGCCTGGCCGCTGTCAGCGTGGCCTCTCCCCAGTTCGGCCGACAACCGTTCCGGCCCCCCCCCTCACAGTTCCGGACCCCCATCCCTAGCAAGGATTCCCGACACATCGCAATCATCAGCGACAATCGTCACGATCAGGGAGACGGCAACTTCGCCTACGACTTCGAGGCGGAAAACGGCATTAAGGTCAACGCTGTCGGTCGTCCCGGGTCAGCTGGACAAAGTAACATCGAGGGCGCTTACAGGTAGGTCGTGAGAAGGTTGTGAGAAGGTCGTGGGAAGGCCGGGGGAAGGTCGTCTATTCCGAGACTGTGTTGCCCTCAGTCTAATTATTTATACTGCCTTCAGACCATATTCAATATACTATACTATGTATTCGGTGTATATGCACGGAGAGTTTTCGTCAGTCCTGTACTATGTTCAGGGCTAGAGTATACTTGCCGGTTGGTCAATAAACTGTTGTGTAGCCTTCATAAAACTCCAGAGGTTCATAGGCGTTAAGCCCAACACCAGTCAATAACTACATATAAAAGGATGCTTTACCTGTATCATAGTTCCCAGTTGTTCCCAGTCCATATTTCATACACTACATCCAGTCTACGTTACATTGAATAGCACTGATCATTTCTAAGTCACCGTTCAGTCATATCAGTTACTGGCCATCTCCAGTCACTCAGTCTCACGTAACTAGGGAAGGGAAACGTGAGGTTATTAACTTTTACTGTTGTTTATGATTTTATCTTATTGATCTACTTGCATTTGGGCACCAGGGACGGTACTTGGGCTCCAGGGACGGTACTTGGGCACCAGGGACGGTACTTGGGCACTAAGGACGGTACTTGGGCACCAGGGACGGTACTTGGGCACCAGGGACGGTACTTGGGCACTAAGGACGGTACTTGGGCACCAGGGACGGTACTTGGGCACTAAGGACGGTACTTGGGCACCAGGGACGGTACTTGGGCACTAAGGACGGTACTTGGGCACCAGGGACGGTACTTGGGCACCAGGGACGGTACTTGGGCACCAGGGACGGTACTTGGGCACCAGGGACGGTACTTGGGCACCAGGGACGGTACTTGGGCACCAGGGACGGTACTTGGGCACCAGGGACGGTACTTGGGCACCAGGGACGGTACTTGGGCACCATGGACGGTACTTGGGCACCAGGGACGGTACTTGGGCCCCATGGACGGTACTTGGGCACCAGGGACGGTACTTGGGCACTAAGGACGGTACTTGGGCACCAGGGACGGTACTTGGGCACTAAGGACGGTACTTGGGCACCAGGGACGGTACTTGGGCACCAGGGACGGTACTTGGGCACCAGGGACGGTACTTGGGCACCAGGGACGGTACTTGGGCACCAGGGACGGTACTTGGGCCCCATGGACGGTACTTGGGCACCAAGGATTGTACTTGGATACCAGTGACAGTATTTACCTAGTTGTGTTTGCGGGGGTTGAGCTCTTCTCTTTCGGCCCGCCTCTCAACTGTCAATCAACTGTTACTTACTACAATTTTTTTCCACACACACACACACACACACACACACACACACACACACACACACACACACACACACACACACACACACACACACACACACACACACACACACAGGAAGCCGCCGGTTACAGCTGACTAACTCCCAGGTACCTATTTACTGCTAGGTAACAGAGGCATTAAGGTGAAAGAAACTCTGCCCATCGTTTCTCGCCGACGCCGGGAATCGAACCCGGGCCACAGGTTTACGTGTCCAGTGTGCTATCCACACAGCCACCGGTGCCACTGTACTTGGGCACAAGTGACTGTACTGGCACCTGTTATGGTGCTAATAATTATGACTTTTATTATATCAAAAGACCATACTTGAAACATATAGAATAAGTCACGACTATGTGTTTTATAATATATTACCTATCACATGTTTTTTTGTAATTAATAATTGTCCCAAATAGCCATCAGTTATATGTTCGTACTTATAATGACGCTGATGTTCCACCCAGGTTCCAAACTGACGAAGGAGAAGTAGTCGAGGTCCGCTACGTCGCTGATGAGAACGGCTACCGCGCCGAGTCCCCACACATCCCCACCCCTCACCCCCTCCCCGCCCACGCCATCGAGCAGATCCGCTTCGCCGAAGCCAACAGAGATCGCTCTATCCCAACCCCAGCTGGTCGCAGGCGGCCGTTCTAAATCACCCTTCCCCCCCATGACCTCCAAAGACCTCCCTTAACCTCCATCACCACCCCCGCACTACCAGTAGCGGCATCACCCTCTCCCCAGAAACAATTAACTTCTCCTGCAGGATGTCCCCGTCTCTCACCCTCCAGTACTGACTGCTCTCAAGGATACTTGAAGACCCAGCTTCCTCACACACTCACACACAAGGATCGAAGGTTAAAGGGCACCAGGCTGCCCAACGACATCACTCAGACGTCACGAACACGTCGCCTGTAACCTACATGCAACGACTAATATTAAACATCACGCATTAGTTATTGATATTTATTGTCCTTGCCTGAAAATGTCCTTTACATGAAAAAACCTGAAAATCTTTACTGCCTCTGTAATATACCTCTTGTAACAACATATTTATGTAATCAAAATCAAGATATCCAGTGAAGAAGCAAATTCCAGACATTTATTTGTGAGTTTCACATACAATGAGATATAACATATAATAACGCACCAGAGATATCCAAGAGAACATTTCCCTTCGTGCATCCCCTCGTCTTCCGCTCACCTGTTCCCCTTCAACGCTGTTTCCCCCCTTTTCCCCTTGTACTCTGCTTCCCAACTCTTGCATTAAAGTCTCCCAGGTGGAAGATTGGCTCTTGTTGAGGTACGTCTCCAAGAGTTAGGCCGAGGTCATCATAGAACTCGTCCTTCGTTTCGGTAGAGGTCAGTGTTGGTATTCACCTAGTTGTGCTTGCGGGGGTCGAGTTCTGCTCCTTTGGCCCGCCTCTCAACTGTCAATTAACTGTTACTAACTACTATTTTTTTATTACACACACACACACACAGGAAGTAGCCAGTGACAGCTGACTAAGTCCCAAGTACCTATTTACTACTAGGTAACAGGTGCATCAGGGTGAAAGAAACTCTGCCCATTGTTTCTCGCCGGCGCCGGGAATCGAACCCGGGCCACAGGATAACGTGTCCAGTGTGCTATCCACACAGCCACCGGCGCCCCAGGTGCATAGGCGTTGATGAGGCTGACCATTCCTGCTGCTGTGTGAAGCTGAAGTTTGATGATCCTTGCAGACCTCTCTGTGGGCAGTACTATGAACCCCAACAATCTGTTCTTGACGGCGAAACCAGCTCCATGCTCCATTACCTCTTCAGGAGTTTTGCCCTGCTTGAAGAAGGTAAAGTCCTTCTCCCGTATGCTGCCGTTCGCGGGCAGACATGTTTCCTGCAGGACGGTTACGTCCATCTGGAGCCTGCGTAGTTCACTGTTGATCACAGCTGTCTTGCAGGCGTCGTTCACTTCCAGTAGATTTTCCGAGAGACCCGGTGTCATGGTCCTTACATTCCACATGCCCAGTTTGAGAGTTGGGTGGCTCTGTGTTTGTTTTCTTTTGCCTGTTGCATGGTTGACGATCTGCTTGTTGGATTGTAGCCTAAGCCCCACCCACCCAGTGGAGCAGGCAGAACGTGTGGGACAGCACCTTTCTGGCTGGGGGCTGCCCAGCTTGAGGCGAGCGGTAGCTGTCCTATGAAATCTGATGATTTTTTCCACCGAAGGAAGCAACACCTGGCGCCTCACACTATGCCAATTGAGTAGTAGGCTCATCACCTGTAGCTGTCGCTTCCCGTGTTAAGCCGTCGCCAAGGTGACGCTGGAGTGTCCTCTCTACCGGCACAGGCCTGGGCAGTAGTTATGGAAAACCGGATGTTGCCCATGCACCAGATCCATCCTCTTCACGCTACTGATGTGGTCCAAGGGAAGGGCAGGCGCCGATACGCTTGGAACAAGTGTCGACGAAGGAGCTGCTGGAATGTAGCTGTAAACAGCTGCAAACTGCCCTAGGAACTATGACTCTGGGTTTTTCCTCGGGGTTGACCCCGAAGCTTTTCCCATGAGTGAGTTTAGCCGCAAGAGAGCGGAGGTTTAAATTTGGGGTTTTCTTTCCCCTAGATGAGCAGCCTTCCCAGGCTGATGAGTCCTATTTGCCTGAAGCAACTTGTTTTAAGGTGCCAGAGGCCCGCCTTCGCCCCTTCTCCTGTTAGTAAAAGCAGTTCCACCAAGACTAAAGGCTGGGCTACACGAGCAGGTCAGGAAATGGATTTGGTTGTCAGAGGCTGTTTGAGACGCACGCCATCAGGGGCACATTAAAGGCTGTGGGAGCTCATCTGCACAACACTCCACCACCCCCTCCCCCACCCTGGCTATGAAAACCCTTGGAACCAGGGTACTGTGGTGTCTGGATAAGGGAATACAGTGAGTATGGAGCTTTGGACAGGAAAATTTAACTTCGACTTAGTAAATATATATCTTCTACACAAGCTGAATTGAAGCCATTCTGGCCGGTTTGGATGAAATATCTGAAGACGAAAAGATCAAGATTTCGTATGTGTCGATAGCCGAGAAGCACTTGATTCATTTAGCTGTTGTTGTCCAATCTTCACGTATATAGTTGAGGATTGCAAGAAAACGATGAGTGAGATAACGCTAAAAGACCACAAAGTGAAATTCACATGGATTACATCGCATGCTGGAATAGTACTCATATATATAATATTTCATCTTATGATGGAGATGGCTCATCATCCATCCCCATCGAGAGGGCTCATGACCTGCCTAACGTGCCACAACATGTTGATGTTGAATGTTGAATGTGTGTTAATTCTGAAACAAATAAGAAATATTCAGCAGCAGGCGACGATGGAAAAAGAAGAGAAATAATATTGAAAGAGAAGACAAACCACGAAATGGTAAATGTATGCGAGTAAAACAACTTATTATTGGGAATACTTATTGGGAATATGGAACAAGTGTTAATGTGTATGAAACAAAATTGTAAATTATTATAATTGTATTTTAACCTCATATTTTAAGGTCTCGCGCCCTCACTCATAATGTTCTTGAGAGTCCGGTGACTAATGTATATAGAATACTGAGATAAGGATTTCTGAACATATTGCCCGAATGTGTCACAATGAAAAGATTGATGCCATTCAGCAGACATAAGAATTTTGCACTAGTGCTCTAAACTTTTATTGATTTGTTTGATTGTCTACTTATTGCCAATGTATTATAGTGTGTGTATTTGTGCTTAGTTAAAAATATAATTGTATGTAGTTGTGTGTATGTTTAGTATAACATGGCCTTTGTACAGGAAGAAATGTTTATATTTATCGGCCAGAATGTTCAGTAATGTGTCGATTGTTTTTATGTTTGTAAACATATAACAACACGTTGTAATGAATGGTGAGTGAATAACTCGACCTGCCTCATTGCTATGTATATATACTTCAATACACTTATTTAGCTGAGGCCCAATCAACCTTTAGCCTTACGAATGAATCCCTCGTGCCAGGCTGTGAAAGTCACATCAATTAGAATGTGATTAAAAATTTGAAAATGAATGAATATACCTCAACAATAAGATATTTTTGTGTCCACTTGTAGCTCTCATCTTGCAACTCTTATCTTGCATTTCTCTTGAAGTTCCCAACTTGATTCCTCCCCCTCTACAGTACTAATATCTTGCATACCTCTCTTTAAGACCGCCTCTTGAAGTTCTTGCATCCCCAACATTAAAGTTTTCATCTTACAGCCATGCCCTTGCAACTTCGTCTTGCTGGTCTCATCTAGCACCTCTACCTTCCGGCCCATATCTTGTAACCCACTCACACAGCTTCATTTGGCATCCCTCATATTCAAAGTTGTCTCTGCATGGGCATCATCTTGCAGTGTCATCTGGCATTCCTAATCGTGAAGCCCCTTTTGTAACCATCCTTTCATCCTTCAGGCCCCTCTGACAGTTTTAATCTTGTAACCCTCCAATTTCCAGTAATTTCTGTAAACCTGCATAGTACAGCAAATTTGGATAGCCGATCCTAATGAAGGTCAGGATCGTGGTTGTGAACACAAATTGAAGTAAGAGATGAGTAGAGAACTAGATAAAGATCAATATTTTTATCATTAAAGGCAAAATTTCAATATAACTACACCAGCAGCAGTTTCAAGGCAGGCAATCATTTGAGTACTTTTCAGAAAGTCCAGAGAGTAAAACAAAATAGTTCTGAGATATGCCCACAAGACTGGTCCAAGAATTGAGAGGACCAGGGGAACTATCAGAGAAAGCTCCAAGTCATTACGTCTATATAGGACTGGGAAGGGATCAGGTGAAGTACAGGGAAAGACTGAGGAAACAATTCTGTCCGAGATGAGACAGGAAATAGGAGGCAGGACTTCTGTGTATAAAATATTATGAGACGTGCAATAACAGGACGAGTGTATCAAACATCTAATATGAGGAAATGAGAGAAAGAGAAAGAGAGAGAGAGAGAGATGGGGATGTGAAAGAAAAAAATATTAAGAGAGAGATGGGGGGGGACGGTGTGGAAGAAAAAACATTATTATGAATATATTTATGGACACAAGTGTCGACTCCCGTTAATGAAATGTTTTGCAAGAATGGGTGTCGGTCCCTTGCCATATTTATGATCGCTTCGTGTTTTGTTGGCACTGATTCGTCTTTTCAGAAAACATATATTTACGATTATGGTGTGAGCCTTGAGCCACTTCCTGGCCTCAGAAGCCTGAAGCTGTGATGAACTTACATGTGTGTTATGACACAAGATATGTGTGTCTTGTGTGTTGTGTGTGTGTGTTGTATGTGTTGTGAGTGTGCTGTGTATGCCTGTTTGTTGGGTATTATGTCTCTTGTCGTGTTAGCTGGGCGTTGTGACTTAGTGAAGCGATGTTGGTCTAATGAGTTTTTTATGTTAATGTTGTTTGTGTTTATGTGTGTGTGTTCTTTCTTCTGTCTTTATCTGTGTTTTCTTGTACATGTTGCATGTGTTTTATGACTGTGTTTTGCGTCTGTATTTGTTGTGTGTCGATCGCATGTGAGTTGTAATAAGTGATTTGTTTGTGTGCATAATTACTTCAAATTATGCACTAAATATTAATTACTTCTAAATATTCACCTATAACTGCTAGCAGGAAACTTGTTAGTACTTTTTCGGCACCTATGTTTCCTCAGCTTGAATCTGTGTTCTCTTGCTCTTAATGTTGCTGGTTTCAGGAATTCCTCTGTGTCAGTTTGGTCGATTCCGGTTATTATTTTGTAAGTGTAATATCACCTCTTTTTCTTCTATCTTCTAGCTATGGCATATTTAACGCCTCTAGCCTCTCCTTGTCACTCTTGTTTTTCAGTTCCAGAAGCCATTTTGCAGCATGCCGTTGCACCTTTTCCCACTTTACTTATGGGCTTCTTGAGATTTGGGCACCATTCAACTGATGCATATTCCAGTTTTGGT